GCGGCCCCGGGCGTGGGAACACGTGCTCGGCAGCGCCAGGTGAGGGGTGCACGGCGCAGGTCTCTCCTAACTGTTGGGAATCGCCGGAAAGCTGGCTCTCCTCCAGCGGCCCTCGAAATGCGCTCAACCCAAACTAAACTCTGTGTCCTCGAGTTGAGGTCGCTGCACAGCGACCCTATAGAACAGGGCAGAGCTGTAACCGGGTACAGCAGTACCTGGGCCTGCGTCCACCTGGCCTCAGTCAGAGGGCTTCTCCAGACTGGACCTGCTCGGGAACCCTCGACCTGGGCTTTCAGCGGGCCGCCGTCATTTCCCTCTCACCTAAACACCCAAATCAGAATAAAACAAAACCTGAGCCCTGGAGGGGGAGTGGTTACACATCGGGATAACTGAAGGCCAGCTTCACCCACCTCGAGCCACAGTGGGACTGTCTACTCCCATCAAGAGCTGCAATCGAGGAAGCTCACAGGGACACTCCCCCCCCCCCCCCCTGAAAGGGTCGCTGCGGTGCGTTTGGGTTTTGGTTTGGCCCCTTAGCTGGTGAGCCCTGGTGGCCTAGTGGGCTACCATACCTGCAAGCTCAGGGGGAAAGATGAGGCTTTCTACACTTGTAACTCGTTAGTCTTAGAAACTGCCCTGTTCTATTCTGTCCTATGGGGCATTGTGAGTCAGAATCGACGTGAAGAAGGTGAGTCTGCCTCTTGTCCCTCTTGTGGGTATATGAGAGCTTAAATTGTGAATCGTAGGCTTGCAGAAGGCTGTGGCAACGGTTAACAGCCCAGACCCGACTGTAGAGTCCCCACATGGATGAAGCCTCCATCGAATTCCTTCTGCCTACAAACCAGGAATGTGAACAGCCTTGTCCGCAGGCAGAGCGCATGAGAAGTGGATTATTTCAACCCCTAGCCAGCCCAGGGAGGGGCAGTCTCCCTTAGGGGCTTGACTGGGTGTATCTTTGATGTTGTTAGATGCTGTTGACCCAGAGTAACCTTATGCACAACAGAAGGACACACGGCCAGGTCCTGCACCACCCTCACCATCGTTCCTGTGCCTGAGCCCATCTTTGCAGCCACAGTATCAGTCCATCTCCTTGAGGGGGGCTTTCTCTCCTCCTCTGCCACTCTACCCTGCCTAACATGATGTCCTCCTCCAGGGACTGGTCTCTCCTGACAGCAGGTCCAAAGTATGGAGGCTGGTGTCTCGCCATCCTTGCCTTGAAGGAGCATTTCACCAAGACAGATGGATAGGACACAGTATGACAAACCGACAGACAAGTCAGTGGTGGTAACTCCTTGATGGAAATTGCCATGGTTGTGTGAAATAAGCATGAGTCATGCCCTAACTGCCTTGATCTTGTTAGCCCTTTTGTATAGCATAATGCATGTGTTCCAATCATGGTCCCATTTCCATTTCTGTATTGAGCTGCCACCAATCATGTGTCCATGACAGTTTTCCTTTGCCCTCTCATGTCTAATATTAAACTGTTGGTTCTCTGTAAAGAGCCCTGCTGGTGTAATAGGCTACATGTTGGGCTGCTAACTGTACAGTCAGCAGTTCAAAACTACCAACCACTCCCAGGAGAAAGATGAGGCTTTCCACTCCTGTAAAGATTTACAACCTTGGAAATCCACTGGAGCCGTTCTACTCTGTCCTTTACGGTCTTGTGGAACAGCTGGGTGGATTCAAACCACCAACCTCTGTTGGCAGCTGAACGCTTAACCATTGTATCACCAGGGTTCCTTAGTCTTATTTTAGGAAATCCCGAACTAAGTGGGAGGCAGTGCCCCTACCTCCCATTCTGGAAGCCAGGTGAGATAGAGTTCCCCTACTAACTCCTTGGAAGTTAGTATGCAAGTGAAGCCCCCTCTTCCAGATGTAGCAGAGACTCAACCAGCACCCGTGGGAATAATGAAAAGTCTGATCCAGAGTTCAGCAGCCAAGAAATCAAGCAACTTATGCTGCAAATGACCTCATTAATGTGCTCAACAGGTGAAAAGGTCCCCTTGAAGACTAAGGTGTGCCTGACCCATGCCGTGGTATTATTAATTGCCTCATATACATGTGTAAACTGTATAATGAAAGAAGAAGCACTGATACTCCTGAATAATGATGTTTGTAAAAATTATTTAATGTATTGTCAACTACCAGAAGAACAAACAAATCTCTTTTGGAAGAAATACAGCCAGAATGCTTCTTAGAAGTGAGTGAGGATGCTGACATTTGGTCTCATGTACTTTGGGCCATGTTCACAGGAAGGACCAATTCCCAAAGAAGGACACCATGCTGGATACAATAGAGGGTCTGCAAATAAGATGAGGACCCTTAATGAGATGCATGGGCCCATGAGTGACAATGGGCTTAAACATAGCAACAAGTGTGAGGACCAGACAGTGTTTTATTCTGCTGTAAGCAGGGTCACTATGAATCAGAACTAACTAGACCAGTGGTTCTCAACCTTCCTAATGCCACAACCCTTTAATACAGTTCCTCATGTTGTGGTGAACCCCCTAACCATAAAATTATTTGCTACTTCATAACTGGAATTTTGCTGCTGTTATGAATCGGGTGACCCCTGTGAAAGGGTCGTTCGACCCCCAAAGGTGTTGAGACCCACAGGTTGAGAACCGCTGGACTAGACAGAACTGAACACCATCTTGTTATGATAACTGATTTTGTGAATTTCAAAGCCTCATGGCAGCAGCTTGAAAGTCTCTTGTCCATCCTCCTGAAGCTCCACAAAAAATCAAAGCACCTGGGTGCAGTCCTAGACCTTCTGGCTGAAGATGGTCAGCTTGTCAGGCTCTGGAGGTGACCCCAAGGAGCCCTGGTGGGACAGGGAGTGACATGTTGGGTTGCCAGCCATAAGTCTAGCTGTTGGAACTCACCGGTTCTCCAGAGGAGGGAGGAGGCTTTCTGCTCCTGACGGGGCCATGTGACTCGGTCCCTTAGGGTCATTGTGAGTCAGAATCGACTCAATGGCACTGCGTTTATGGGTTTATTAGTTTGTTTTTGAGGTGACACTACTACGCAAAGGACTGATCCACCATGAAGCGATAGGTTCTCAGAACCCTTTTGCTAATAATACCCACGAAGAGGATTGCTTAGTATTTCACTCAGGGAGACCCCATTAGGGCCATAAGCCAAGCTGGGCACCAACTCTTCTACCTTTTTTTAAAAAGTAATGTTCTGTGAAACTGAAATTATTGTTATTGTCGATAGGGATGTTGAAGCTGCCTCAGAAAGGTTAAGCAGCTCATTGCAATGTAACCAGTTTAGAAAGCGTGAAAACTAGCATTTGAATCACAGCCATCGGACTTAAACAACTACATCCACCAGATTCTCTCAGCTCTCTGACCCTCAGTTTTTTCACCTGTAACCTGGGAATTAGGTCTTACCTCCGCGGGGACTTGTAAACACTGAAACCGTGCGTATAAAGCACTAAGCATTGTATTTACCCACCGCAGTCAAGGAGAGTCCGACTCAGAGCAACCCTATAGGACACAGGGGCACTGCCCCCCGAAGGCTTTCATCTTCATGGCAGCAGAAAGCCTCATCTTTCTCTGATGGGGCGGCTGGTGGCATCAAACTGCTGACCTTGCAGTGAGCAGTCCAGTGTTGCCCACTACTTCACCAGGGCTCTCAGGATTGTGTTTATTGCAGACAAAACCCTGAATGAAAACCAGTCACGCTTCATAATTTCTATGACCTTGTTAATGATGCTGTCTCATGGAAATAGAACGATGATTCCAACTGAAGTCTAACTAAGTTTCTGAACTATCCATTCTTATTACGCAGCTTTGGAAGGCCTTTCACCACAGTCTACTTACAGGAGGCTGAAGAGCTTCTTGAGAGAAAGCACTCAGAAGGAAAGAAGCACCCAGGCACCTAAGTTCAACCCAAAAGGAGGCATTTCATCATTAGAAGGGAAGGTGATTCAAAGGCAGTGTGGTATCCATCCTTGCAGTTCCCTCCTGACCTGTGTTAGTTTCTGTGTTAGTCCAGGTTGACTAGAGAAACAAATTCATAGACACATATATATATGAAAGTGCTTTATATAAAAGTGCTTTGTATATTGAGAAAACATCTCAACCCAGTCCAGATCGAGTCCATAAGACCGATATTAGCCCACATGTCTGATACTTGTCCATAAAGTCCTCTTTAGAATCACGCAGCACATGCTGTGACGCTGAGTGAAGGAAGATCACAAGCCCAGTGGCAGTGGAAACATCTCAATGCTGGCAGGGGTCTCCGTGTGGCTCCTCCAGCTGCAGGGCTCTGGCTGCATCAGTGTAGCTCCATCAGGCTTATCATCAGCAATGTCTCCAAAGAGTCAGTGTGTGTCCGGCCTCCAGTGAACTATTTATCTCCTTAGTGCCTCCAAATGAGGTCATCAAGCTGCGGCTTGATTGACAGGCTACACTCCACCCCTTCACTCCTTAGTCTCAAATTGACAACAGATTATGTAACTACCATACTTACTATGGCACTAGGGCGCCTTTCCTTTGAGTAAACCAAAAGCCTAAACTCACGGCCATCGAGGCAATGCCAATTCAAGGACAAGACACTTTAGAACTGTCCCTGTGGGTTTCGGAGACTGTGACTTGAGTCCCATCTTTCTGGAGCGAAGCT